TCACTGGCCACAGTTCTCAAAGTGTGGTCCTTGCCCCCGTATCACCTGACAACTTGTTAGAAATGCAAATTCTGGGGCACGTGGGTGGCTCAGGAGGTTCAATGTCTGATTTCAGCTCAGGCCATGATCTCATGGTTCGTGAGTTTGAGCCCCCAAAGGGCTCTCTGCTGTCAGTACAGAGCCCGCTTTGGATCCTCTCTCTCCCCCTCTCTCTGCTCCTTTCTTGCTCACTCTCTCTCAAAATAAATAAATTTTTTTAAAAAAATGCAAATTCTGAGGCTCAATCCCAGGCCTACTGGCTGGGACACTCTGGAGAGTCGCCCAGCGATCTGCACTTTAGCCAGTTTTCCAGGAGATTGTGATGCAGGCCTGAGCTGAGAAGCAGACGTCACCCTCTATCCAGCCGTATCTGGCCCTCCTGCATCTCCAGCCTCTGCCTGTGCTGGTCTCTCCACCTGAGCGCCTCTCCTAACTCCCATGTGTTCTTTAGGGGTCAGCTCAAGCTAACTGGTGCCCTTCTTCCATGTTCTCTTGTATTCCCTTACGGCCTCAGGACAGCTTTATTGCAGCGCGAGCCAATCTCCTATCATGTTTGGTTATGTTTGTCATCTTTCCTGGGCCACGATCCTCTTGAGGGCAGAACAATTTCTCCTCCCACTCACAATGCCCAGCTCAGAGCAGGCAACTCGAAATGTGCTTGAAATTTAAGGGTAAGCTTTGTAATGGGAACAGTGTGGAATCAGGAGGCTAGGAGGTACAGACGATCACTCTAATTTTTAAAACATCATATGAACAGGAAGGTAAGAAATGCCCCCTCTGCCATCAAAGCCAGGACACACTCTCGAGGCCACCAGTTCTGTTTTTCACAGTCACACTGATGATCGCAAATATTTCCCTATCAAAGCCACCCTCCCTCACCACCTCGATGGAAAAAAAAAAACAGAACTCAATATTGTCCCTTCAGAGGAAGCCTTTATTGTAACATAAAATACACAATTTTGTGACTGCCCCAGATTGTACACAATACTTTTTTGGTGGCTACATACTAATCTGCCTCAACACTAAAATATGTATCTGAATAATTCACAAAGTTTTAAAAAGAAAAATTATAAAAAGTATACTTCCACTTTAAGTTCTATTCACTTTTAGTCTCCCCACCCCCCTACAAAAACCCGGCACATACCACACATTGAAACATTTGATGACTTATGTGTGTGCGTGTCTGGGGGCAAGTGAGAGGCAGAGGAGGTCAAGACTTGCCACTGCCTCTTTTGTGGTTTGCAGGAACAGGGAGAAAAGAGAAAACACAACGCAGATAGCGAGCATACCTTTCAGTCAAACATCTCTCCCGTCTATCAGCGCAGCCTCAGGAAAACGGAGGACAGGTCAGCGACCGTACCAGCATGGGACCCCTCTGCTCGGGGCAGCCACGCTCTTCGGCTCCTGTCCCCCCAATCTCCAGTGCCAACTGTCAAGGGCAAGCTCTGCCCACAGCACACCCTGGGGCTGGGTCCCTGCCAACGTGAAAGTGTGTCAGTCCCGCCCCGTCAGGGCCGCTGAGCTCCCGGCCGGCCTGCCACGGCACTCAGGGCACTCAGGGGCCGGTGCTGGTGAAGTCCAAGGGGCAGGCAGGGAAGGGCTCTTTATGACTGGGTCCGAGAGTGGTCAGGCCGCCTCCTCCCGCTTCCCCAACACTCATCCTCATGGGTGGAATTTTAATCAAATCTTGAGGGGTATGTAAAGGGCTTAGCGACACCCTATGTCACCGCTGGTATCATGGAAGGGTCGGCCTGCTCCTCAGAGGCAGAGAGATTCTACTGCCTGGCATAGAAAAATAAATCAGTGTATGAAACCAAGCCAGGGCAAACAGCAGCTTTTAAAAAGTCATCTTCCAATAAATAATTTACTACAGAGGAATATTTTCCTTTAACATCAAAACACTGATAAATTCAGAAGTCATTTTTGTAAAAAAAATATGTTTATTTACTCACATGTATAAAAATAAGGTTTTTAGGGCCATTCTCTCCTGGTGTGGTCATTCCTTCTTTTGGAGAAGGGGGCCGGGGGTGAGTGACCTTTAGGCCTACCCCGAAAGCTATACCTGCTTCCCCCTCTTCCCACCTGACTGCGATAGACCGTTCCTTCCTTCTGGGGTAAAGCTACGGAAGAAATCGTGGACGTTGTACTGAAGCGGTTTTGTTTGGTTTCTGCAGCTTACCAAACTTCCTAGGAAACCCACTGACTGTGTTGCCCCAGATTACCAACGCTGACACCCAGTGGCCCGTACCAAGTGGGCAACAACGTCGCTGAGCACGCTGGCCCCGGGTTCGAACTGCACCCCCACCGGCCCCTCCCTGAGATGGCCCGTGTGGACAGTGAAGGGAATCGAGGTGACCTGGGTGTGAATGGCACAGGACCTGCCACAGGAAGAAAGGGCTGTGATATCAGATTAGGGTGGGAAGAGCAAAACAAGAAGTCCCGATTTAGAAACAAAACATCAGTCAGCCTGTGCGAGTGGCCACCATCAGTAAGCCGTGGGGTAGCCGCGCTCGGGCGGAAGGACGGGCAGACCAGAGGGCAGCTGCTCCGGGTGGCAAGGCAGCTTTCTCAGCGCCTGTGGGCCACGGCCTGGCCTTCCACTCTGGCTGCGACACAAAGGACATCAGCACTGTAAGCTGCGGTTATGTGACCCTCTTTTCTTTTCTCTGGTTCATCAAACGTGTCTGCGCACGTGCACACACACAGAACTGAGGGGCAATTCACACAGTGGATGGAAGGAGGGGGAAGGAGAGAACATGTAGATGGGTTCAGTGTTACTTAAAAAGCAACTACCCATCAGACAACCCGTGACTTCCCTTGCCCCAACAATCACTGTATGTCCCCGCTTTTTCCCATCCCTACCCAGGAAAATGGGAGTCAGGGAGAGGGAAGGAGGGAGGATGGCTTTCTTTTTCAAAAGGCAATTTGTACATTTCAGAGGAAAGCAGAGACAATCACGGTTATATATCAGTTGCTTGGCAGACACAGTGACAAATCTCACAGGAGAGGTGCTTTCTCCTCCCTTTGTCCTTCTCTGACTTGAACAGCCACATGTCAAAGTTCAGCCACCCTCTGGACACATGGCCAAGTTCCAGGGTTCATGGAACTACTGCCTTTTACACAAGGTTAAAACAACCACAGCCACTGTTTATGGCCCCAGTGCTGCAACTAAACTCTGGACAGCAAGGGGGAGAAACAGCCCAATGTGAAAACTCACCCACACACACACCCACACACCCTCACACTCACACACTCACACACGTTCCCTTCACTGGTGCCACCATGCACAGAAACACTAAAGTCACAACTAGTATTAACACTTCACATTATGAGTATTGTTTCCAAAGAGAAGCGATTCATGGAATTAAAACATCCACAAGAGTAACTCCTCTGGCGAGGACGAAGAAGCTAAAGATGGAGATGGGGGCGTCATGACTGCGCGTGAGGGATCCACTGACTGTCCATAGGTCGGCCCAAGAGCTCTTCCACACGCCGCGCCACATCCATTGTGTCATCCAGATCAAAGTCCCCATCATTGTCAAGGACGGGGTCAGGGCTTGGGAGAAAAAGATAAGAGATAAAGGGAAGGGGAAGGTTGCCCAAGGCCAATGATGAGCCACAGAGACCACCCCAAGCCCCACACCCCACTGGGTGAACAGCCCAAGATGGCCTGTGCCCTTGGCCTAGGCTTCAGGGGAAAGATGCTCCTGATCTGGACAGTGGGGAGTAGAGTCCTTTGCTATCTGGACGGAGAGGCTCAGGCTGGAACACCCACCCCAGCTGTCCCTGACCCTGGCTGTCCACACATGTAAAGCCCATGTGCTCCTTATACAAAGCAAGAAAAATCTACATTTTGAGAGAGAAGAGTAGTTGACATTTGCCCAACCCCATTCTAAACTACCAATACCTTCTGTTCAAATCTCTGTCTCCCACCTGGGCATATGCTGGTGCCTGGCCTGGGTGGTCTCAGACCTACAGGAGCTCTGGGTCCCTTTGTCCACCAG